TAGTTTGTGTTGGAGGGTAGTGAATGCTTCAGTTTTGAACTATTTTGTGTTGGAGGGTAGTGAATATTTCAGTTTTGTATTACTTCTTGTTGGAGTGAATGTTTCAGTTTGAATTGTTTTGTTGGAGGGTAGTGATTGTGACAGTTTTGAATTAGACCATGTGTTGAAGGCTAGTGAATGTTTCAGTATTCAATTTATGTGCTGAAGGCTAGTGAATGTTTCAGTTTTGAATTAGTTTGTGTTGGAGGGTAATGAATGTTTCAGTATTCAATCAGTTTATGTGTTGAAGGCTAGTGGTTTCATTTTATAATTAGTTTGTGTTGGGGGGTAGTGAATGTGTTAGCTTTGAATTAGTTAATGTGTTGAAGGCTAGTGAATGTTTCAGTTTTGAATTAGTTTGTGCTGGAGGCTAGTGAATGCTTCAGTTTTGAACTAGTTTGTCTTGGGGGGGTAGTGAATGTTTCAGTTTTGAACTAGTTTGTGTTAGAGGGTAGTGAATGCCTCAGTCTTGAACTAGTCTGTGTTGGAGGATAGTGAATGTATCGATTTTGAGTTAGTTTGTGTTGGAGGGTAGTGAATGTTTTAGTTTTTAATTAGTTCATGTTGGAGGTTAGTGAATGTTTCAGTTTTGAGTTTGTGTTGGAGGGTAATGAATGTTTCAGTGTTGAGCTAGTTTGTATTGGAGGGTAAATGTTTCAGTTTTGAATTAGTTTGTATGGGAGGGTAGTGAATGTTTCAGCTTTCAGTTAGTGTTGGAGGCTAGTGAATTTTTGTTTTGAATTAGTCTGTGTTGGAGGCTAGTGAATGCTTTAGTTTTTAGTTAGTTTGTTTTGGAGCGTAGTGAATGTTTCAGTTTTGAATTAGTTTGTGTTGGAGGATAGTGAATGTTTCAGTTTTGAACTAGTTTGTGTTGGAGGGTAGTGAATGATTCAGTTTTGAATTAATTTGTGTTGGAGGGTAATGAATGATTTAGTTTTAAACTAGTTTGTGTTGGAGGGTAGTGAATGTTTCAGTTTTGAACTAGTCAGAGTTGGCAGATATTTCATAGTATAATTAGTTTATAATTGAGTGGCTATTTAGTAAATGTTTTGGTCCTATATTAGTTTTCTTGTTCGGTGAATACTTAGTGCTGTAATACTTTTTTGTGAATATTTACATTTTACTAAATCTTGTTAATGCTTCAGCGTTGTTTGTGAATAGTTAGTAATTACTTTACATGGCGGTGGCTAGCGTTCAGGTGTTGGATTATATTTCATGGTGGTTGCTAGCTAGTTGATGTTTTGATGCTATATAGGTTTTTTACTCATATGCTTGATGGCTCCGTATTAGTTTGTGTTGGTTGACGAGTTAATATTTCGGCGCTGCAATGTTTATGTTTGTGTCTAGTTCGTGTTTAGGTGTTTTATTTCTTTATCAGTTGGTTCGCAATTTGGACATGTATCGTAAGTTATTTCAGTTCGATGGTGTATTGGTAGCTAATAGTTACTTTTCTGGTGTATGATTCCATGTAGTGATACTATATAATGTTCTGGTTTTGCATTTATATATTTGTTTTCCTGGCTATTTAGTGCAATATTAGGTTGTGTTGATGCCTAATTAATGTTTTGGCTATGTATTATTTCGTGCATTGTTCGCATATTTTTAACGCACTAGTTTACGTGTTGCTGCCTAATGAGTCTGTATTGTTTTGTATGTTGATGGTTAGTTACTGTTTCAGTTCTCTAATATTTTTGGTTAGCTAATTATTGTTTGAGCAGTGTATTAGGCGTTGTTGGCAAGTTGGTTCAGTATTGCTTTAAGAGTTGGTAGCTTTTAAGACAGTGTTTTGGTGGCTAGTTTTCTAAAGTTTTGTGGCCATAATAGCTCATATGTGGCAAGTCAGAGAAAGGTTGGTGTTAGACTATATTTAGATATGTTTTCTCTTTTTTTACGTGTTGATATGATATACGTTTTACCTCTATTTTTAGGTATTGTTGGCTATTTAGCGTTGTATAGGTTTATATATTCTGCATTAGTTAATGTGTCTGTCTTGTATTAATCCACATGATAACTCAGTGTTTCAGTACTGCAAGTTTTTTTTTAATGAATAGTTTCTTAATCTTTCAACGTTCCTTTATTTGTGTGATGTTGGCTAGTTGATGTTTCAGTTCTGTACCAGTGTAGATGGTCGAAGCTTGTTCGTTTATAATTATGTTTATGAATAGGTGACCAGTTAAGTAACCTGTCTTTGTAGGGAATGATGGCTAGTTTGTTAACATTTTGATGCTAGTTATTGTGTTTGCAAGAAGGAAGTTAATGTTTTGGTGCTGTGTTAACCTGTACGCTGGATAATTTGTTAGTATATCAGTTTATAGGTTAGCAACGTAAGTGTTAATTAATATTCAGTTAATGTTTCAGTGCTTAGTTGATTTTACATTTAGGTAACTAATAAGACAGTGACTGAATCCCAGTATGGCAAGATAATGTTTCAGTGGTTTATTAGCACATGGTGATGTCTAGTTACTTACAGTTTCTGCAGTCTTGGTCTATGTGGTGGTGGCTGGTAGATAGATAGTCTTGCGCTGTTGTTCATATTTTGGTGTCTTGTTGATATTTGTGTGCTGTATGGGGTCATGTTTTTTTTTTTTTTTTTTTTTTCCTGTGTGCATGTTACTGGATATTTTATGTTACGATGTTGTATCAGTTTACATGTTGGTGACTGCTTCACTAAGGTTTCGTTTCCAGTTTCGTTAGTGATTTTTGGCTAACGAGGTTGTTTTGGTGTTGCGTTATTTAATGTGTAGGGTAGTTTCAGTTCTGTATGAGTTTATGTATTGGCAGCTAGTTCGTGTTTCGGTTCTGTAAGGTTTTGTGTTGGGTAATCATTTAATGGTTCAATTTTATAGTTTCTAATCTGAAACAGGCCACACACACACACACACACACACACACACACACACACACACACACACACACACAACACACACACACGATATTAAAATGCAACCCCACACCTAATTTAAAGAATCTGAGCTTACCGTGGCAGAACACATCATTCTATGAAAGTTTTCTTCTATACCATTTTCTGCGCAAATTGATTATAAAGGTTATAGAGGGTATAAAATCCACGATTTCCACGGATCCCAGTAACCTTTCATTTCCAGCGCCGCGATAAAATGACAAAAAGTCGTTAAGGGCGACAGAAAATCGGACGGATTTGTAGCGGATGACGTATGCGCGGGAAATCAAATGAGCCAATTAGATTCGTGCGTGAACGTGACGTGAACATAGACACTCAGTAGAACCAATCGAATATGGAATAGATCATCACGTGACAATAGAATATTGGCCTAGGAGAAGCCATTTGAAATTCAAATCAGTTCCAGCAAGGTTAGACAGTGTGTAGGTTGTGAGAACAATGATATCGATTTCATTGCGAAATATCACCGAAATAACGAAGCAAGCTTACTAAATCTACGAGATCACGTTGAAGTACGATACGTGCACTATAAGACACCGTATCATTATAGAAATGACAGACACCAGTAGGTTTGTGGTGCATGGAAAAGGGTCCAAAATCAAAACGAAGAGATCAGTATAACTTTACTGTAATTCCCACCAACATCGGCCTGGATTACCCCGACGATCCCAGTGACCAGCAGTCTGGCCCGTCTGAAGTTAACGGTTTAAGGTAAGATGTTAAAACTTTTTGGGTCTAGGCTCTCTCCTACCGGAACATACGAGGTGAAGATTTTGCAGACTAGGTGGAAGGGGGTATAAGGGAGCGAAGCCACCTATATCTACTGAAGAGGTGTCTGATACCTGGTTTGCCCGGGCTCTCTCCTGCCGGAACATACAAGGTGAAGATTTTGTAGGCCATACCCTGAAAGGGTGTGTAAAGGGGCAGAGCCCCCTATACAATCCGAAAATGTGTTAGTATACTCTGCTTGCTATTATTCTTACCGATATTTCTTGAAATTCCCTGATATATAGGTCTATCATGCCCTCCCTAGCTATCGAGACCGAAATCATAGTTATGCTTCGTTTACAAAGAAATTGAGTGTTAGCTTCGTTCAAAACACGACGAAAGCCATTGGAAAATGATGCTATTCACCCAAACAACGGTGCGGGGTTGCATTTCCAAATTCCCATAGACACAAAATGCACACACACACACACACACACACACACACACACACACACACACACACACACACACACACACACACACACACATGTATCTGTATGTGGACCTGTGTGTGTGTGTGTGTGTATATATATATATATATATATATATATATATATATAATATATATATATATATATATATATATATAATATATATATATATATATATATATATATATATATATATATATATATATATATATATATATATATATATATATATATGCTGTATTCGTCTATGTTTCGGTGGACAATTCATATTCCAGTGGTACTTGTTTGTATATTATGGGCTGGCTAGATTGGTAGTGTTTTGATGCTGCATGATTTTTTGTATTAATGGCTCCTTCGGTAATGTTATAGTTTTGTATTAGTTTATAATTATGTTAATGGCTAGTTAATATATTAATGCTGCATGGTTTCGTGATTTTTAGCTTGTTTATGTTATGGTGCTTTATTGATTTATGTGTTGGCAATTAGTTAATACTTTGGTGCTACATTCTTTTGTGTTGGTTGCCAGTTAATGTTTTGCGTATCTATTGGTTCATGTGCTTGTTGGAAAGACATTATGTTTTAATAATATTCTATATATGATTATGCATACACACAATATATATACTGTTTATATATGTATATGTATATACATATATATACATATACATATACATATACATGCAAACACAATACACACATACATATACATATATTTATGCTCGTTCACATTACCTTTGTATCACAAAAAGTATAATTAGAAATCTCGAAGTAGCCTGACAACAGCGTAACGCATAAGACAAAGTGCTGTTTTTTTATGAAAGATACTTAGGACAAATAATAACTTATGTCTTACGTTTACAATTTGGACGCGGAGGGAAATCTGGAAGGAAAAAAATGGTAAATGTTAGATAATTCATACAGACATTCCGACAACCCACGAAGATTGGAAAGTATATTTGTGATAAATAGTATACGCATATGACTAGACGCATTTTGTGATTCTAACTACGATAGGGCAAGGAAAGAAGCAGAGCAGTGACAAAGAAGGAAGAAGGGCACGAGAGAATGTGTCATAATGATGAACAATACGGATATGAAACAGATGAAGAACTCGGGGAAACATGAAAGAAAATATCCAAAAGACGCAGATTTCAATACTGACTTCAGGAAGACACAGAGTACCACCGAGGGATCTTAAGAAGACATGAAGGAACACGGAAGGATCAGATGGAGATATGAAGGACCGCAGCGAGATCTAAAGAAGAGGTGAAGGAACTGAGAAAAAAAAGGTTTTAGGAAAGGAAGGAAAATTAAGAAAGGCACAGGATGAATGCAGAAAGTTCAGGGGGAAGCCTGAAAGGACTCGGAATACTCTGAAAAAGTAAGGAATGGAAATAACTAAGCAAGGCATGACTGATAGCTGAAGAAACTAGGGAAAGCGTGAAAGATCCGACAATTACCCTAAAGAAGTATGTGAGAAGTGACTAAGGTATAAAAAAAAGTCATGAATCACCAAAAAAAAGCGGGAATATTCCTACTTTTAGATATTCCCGAAACCCTTCCTTACCTTCTGAAGTGAAACCATGTCTGGCTAATTGCTCGAGGGTGAGGACACAGGGTTCGCCGTTCTCTTCGGTAGCAATCATGTTGTAGTTTCCAAGAGAGGTGTCATCAACCACAACATAGCACAACGAGTCGAAGATCCGTTTCAGAGGCGAGAGAAGTCTGAAGAAATGGTAAGAGTCCGATCCTGTGATGATGTCTTCAAAGGAGAGAGAAAAAATGGGACGCATTACATGGATCCTCGATTATTACTTTTTACAATCTCTCTCTCTCTCTTCCTTTCCATCTCTCTCTATCTCCATTTCCATCTCTCTCTCTCTTTCTCTCTCTCCCTCTCCCCTCTCCCCCTTTCCATCTCCCATTCCCTTTCTCTCTTTCCATCTCTCTCTCTCTCTCTCTCTCTCTCTCTCTCTCTCTCTCTCTCTCTCTCTCTCTCTCTCTCTCTCTCTCTCTCTCTCTCTCTCTCTCTCTCTCTTCCCCACTCTCAACCCCCTCTTTCGACTATTCTTTTCTTTACATAGGGAATAATTGCTCGTTGCAAAAAAATCCCTATCACTTACATAAGACGTTCTTGTTTCTGGAAAAGGGATCAAATTGTAGCTTGAGCGCCGGGAAATCGAAATTGAGCGTCTCCAGTTGACGATACAGTTCGCAAAAATCAGCTTCGTTGGGGTCGGTGCGGGTTGTGGAGAAGCTTCTAACCATCACGTTGACTGACGGGGGATTCGTCTCCCATCTGCGAGAAATCCACAGATATTCTGAATTTTGGGCAGTGGTGCATGTTTTTTTTTATTTACTGTTTATAATTGCATGCTATTCTGTCCATTCTGTTCTCTTATGTAT